GGGGCTGCAGTAGCCAATCTCAAGCAATCTTAAAGGAAAACCAAGAGAAGGAAGACATTCCTTAGAAGAGCACAATAGGAGGGAGTCTTTGTCCCTCCTTCAGTCCTGAGCTCCTGCAATAATAGGAACACATTGAGAATATTCTAGAATTTAGGACTGAGACCTTTGAGGCCACCTGGTGACCTGTCTCATAGAACAGACGTATTTTCTGACCTCGACTGAGTGGTCTGACCAAGTCTCTGCTGCAAGCCTCCATGATGGAGAGGTTTCTAGATGCTGCAGGACAACCGGCTCTAATACTGATGTCAGGATTATCTGTATAGGTTGCAGAGCAGAGAGGTCCAAGGCACGTTTCTGCGGGGAGACTGGCTGTGCTCAAATCCCAGCTTCGTCCATGGGCTCTGGAGGCTAGTTTTTCCACTCTCTCCCCTTCCTGAGCTGTTCCCCTGGGGAGAGTGAGCTGCCCAGGTTGTCTGTGACTTGCTTCAGTGGATTCTCCTGCCCTCCACGTGCCAGTGGGCCTTGGCCCCTAGGGAGCCCTGGAGGGGAACGAAGGCCTGGAGGGAAGCAGAGGTGGAGATGCTTATTCCCTGGTCCCTTCCACTGGGTTGCTATGGCCACAAAGGTCTCGGTTGCTGTCAGGCGGCTTTCTTCACACAGTGCTCCTCTCTGGGTCTCAGAAAGCTCCCTTCAGTCTCAGAGTGAGTCACTATGATGCCCTGATTCCAGCCCATAGAGTCTGCACTATCCCTGGATGTTAGCCAACAGCCTCTCATGTCTTTCTACATGGTCTATTAAACTTTCCACATTTTACTCCATTTGACTATACCATCTTTTGCTAGCTGGGACTCTGACTAATACAATCACTATCTCTGTCAACTTGGGCAGAGTCCTTAATCATGACTGGCCTCAGTTTTGTCCCCCGTTAAATGGGGATAATAATTCTATCTTCTGCAAAAGGTCATATTTAAACTCGAGTAGGCATTCAGCAAATGTTAAAGGAATGCTACAGCTATGGGGAAGTTGCAATTTCAACACTACCTTTATTCAACTCTCAGAAGTCGCTTTCTGTAGATGGCATTAGGTTTTAAGTCAACCACCAACCAGGCAAAGAGAAAAAAACTCAGTATAGTCAAGATGCATTTTAAAGATCACTCAAGTTGTCTCTCAGAGTACAGCACAGTTGCCTTTCTAGTATTTGGTCCAGTGGAAGGGTTCTTATTCATGTGGAAGTTTGGCATTCCATGGGCTAGAGCCGAGAAGGGCAGATCTATGTGCAAACGTCACAGTACCCCATTGCTCCTTGTGCCATAACTAAGGAGAGTCTCCCTCGAGGAGAACAAGAGACTCTAGAAAATTCTAAAGTGTGCCTGGCAGCCTGGAGGGTCAGCTTTGCTCTGCTCTCACACCAGGGCTCCGTTTTCTTATTGCTGGCTCTGTGCTGTGGTTTGGGGTGGGGATGCTGAGTTCTCAAGTGGTATCCGTGGTAAATTACATCGGGGACATGCTGCTGTGCCCCCAAGTCTTGGACGGCATTCGCGAAGTGCCAGGCTGAGAGTTAAGCGTTTTCCCACACATTACTCAATCCCCACGGCAACTGAAGGGCCCATTATTATCGTCTCTGGTTTTGAGATTAGCAAGCTAAGATCCTAACATGCACAGAACATGGTAGCACAGAGTATGGTAACACCGAGTTTAACCCACAGCAGGGGTAGCATTGAATGCACAGCTGTTGGATCCAGAGCTGAGTTCTTACCCAGCACAGCGGTAGGGCAGGGTGGTGGCTTACCCTCCATATGCTATGTGCACAATATAAACAGAGCTCTAGGTTTTTATAGCTTCTCACATTGGTTGCCTAGACTAACACACAAGTGTTTTCCTGGAAAGATTTTAATTCCCTGTATTTGAAGACAGCCTTGTCTATCACTTTCCAAAGGCTAAATATGTCAATTTGCTCCAGCTTCCTCCTGGAGCCCTGTGTCTGAACCCTTCTCCATCTTATTGAAACAGTGGTCCCCATGTTTGCACAGTGGCATTAATCACCTGAGGAAGTCTAAAAAACATCCAAGTCTGAGCGCTCAGGCTGATGAAACAGAAACCTCTAGAAAGTGGCTTGGGTATTGATTGTTATTTTCTAAGAAGCTCTCAGGATATTTTAAAGGGCAGCCAGTGTGGAAGGTCACTGTGCCAGCTTGCTTAAAAATGAACTGGTGCAGAGGATGGCAAGGAGCTTCTAACATGAAACAGAGCATGGTTTCTTAGAATCATCTGTGGCTTAGTCTCCATGATTTAATAGACTTGGTCTCTAAATGCCAGTGTCCCTCCAGTGTAGGATGTGACATCAGGGTTCTCAGACAGAGCCACTTACAGAGAGGGTGGCCAACCAGAAGGACTCCTCCCTTATCAGATCAAGCTGGACGGCACCTGAATTCTCTCGGGTTCTGAACACCGGAAACATAATTAGGAGTGTTTTATTTTTAACAGGACATTTTACAAACTGCCAACAATTCCCTCCTCTTCCTTTAACTCAGCCTCTTTCTGTACCGGGTGCCCTGCTCTGGGCAGTAAGCCCTAAGGAATTGAGCAGCTCAGTGCTCCACGCCTAAGTGCTATGCTGAGGAGCTATCAGGGAGTAGTTCATTCCTGCTCATTTGCAAGGCGATGATAACAACCAGGGGGTGCTGCTGGGATCCTCATAGGCAGGCCTGGGAGAGTGTTCTGTGGTGTTGTTCACAGGCTGCCTCCTTAGCAGACAGGAAAGGGAAGTCCTTGTATTGTGAAGAGAGAATGAGAGACGATGGCTTGACAGAAGTCAAGGCAGGAGAAGCGCCTGCTGCAGGTACGCAATAATTTCTAAAAACACCTTTATCAGATGAAGTAATAGTGTTTTCTTTGGAAGAGGAAAGGACCCAAAGTCAAATGAGATGGTTACAGCTTTTATTTCTTAAGAAAATGCAGGGGCTGGCGCTGTGGCATAGTTGGTTAATCCTCTGCCTGCGACGCCGGCATCCCATATGGGTGCCGGTTCTAGTCCTGGCTGCTCCTGTTTCCATCCAGCTCCCTGCTATGGCCTGGGAAAGCAGTAGAAGATGGCCCAGGTCCTTGGGCCTCTGCACCCATGTGGGAGACCTGGAAGAGGCTCCTGGTTCCTGGCTTCGGATCGGTGCAGCTCCAGCTGTTACGGCCATTTGGAGAGTGAACCAGCAGACCGAAGACCTTTCCCTCTGTCTCTCCCTCTCACCGTCTGTAACTCTACTTCTCAAATAAATAAATGAATAAATAATCTTTGAAAAAAATAAGGCATTACTTATAAAAAAAGAAAATGCAAAGTTATGAGGACTCTAAAGGGTGCCAAGAGGAATAGGATGCAGATCTGGGTGATGAAATGGATGCAGGATGATATTTGCATCTAGCTTGTGGGAAGCCGGTGAAGCAGGGAGCTGGAAGAGGGTGTGTTGATTCATTGCTAACGTCTAGTAGGTCTCTTTCTTGTTCTTTCTCTCATCTGTCTAGTCATCCTTGCATGTTTTGCCCAAAAGCTATCCTTCACGGCCCCTTAAAACCAACTGAACATTTCTTCTAAGGTTACTGGGTGCCAGACTCTAGCTTAAGAACTTTGCAGATATTTTTTTAAATGTATTTCATTCAATTCCTTTCGCACCGAGAGATTGGAGATAATATTCCCATTCCGCAGATGGAAAGAAGAGAGGGTGAGGAATTTGGCCAGGATGACTCCTCTGGAAGGTGGTGAAAGACTGCAGTCCAGCGCCAGGCGTTTGACCACCAACCGGGCGTCCTGGGACCCCGGCATCCCTGGCACCGTGCCCGGGACTGCTCCTCCGGTAATCACGTGGCTCTCTGCATCCCAGCTTCCGACAAGATTCAGCTCAGTGCAGGGCCCAAGAGCGCCTCCTCCAGGGAAGAAGACTGACTGGAGGAGCAGGCAGCCAGGACACTTGCAGAGCGCAGGGGGCCCTGCGACTTCGCCCGGAGGAGCCTGGCAGGTGCCAGGAGACAGGCGCGCACCGCACCGCTCACATCTGCCAGGCGCGTTTACACTTTGCAAGTCTCTCTCGAGAGGCTGTGTAGTTCTCTCTGAGGCCCCGCAAAGGGGGCTATTTGGAGTCCCATTGTCTAGGTCAGGAAAGTGAGGCTTTGCCTTCACCGCGGCCAGAGGGTCGGCAGGTGGTAGAGCCGCGTGCGTCTGCCTAGTCCCGGGAGCACAGATAATAAAAGCTGTACGGGTCTCGTCATTATTATGCAAAGCCGGCCAGGAGGCTTGGACCCTCCCTTGCACCGGCCCATCTGTCTCCGCGCACCGCCCCCGGGACTCCGAAGCCTGCGGAGTGGGGAGGGTGGAGACGCGCCCCCGCCGCTAAGTCTGGGCCACTGCTCGGTGCCCTCCTGGCCGCACCCCTGAGGCCAACCTCTCCCCGCTAAAACAAAAACACAAACACCTACAGCCTCCCGTGCACCCCGCCCGCTGTCCCCCGAGAGCAGCATCAGTATTAATCTCCATTAATAATTGAAGGCCCGAGCTTTATGCGGGCCGCGGTGGGGGAGGGCGCGCAGCTGGGCCGCATCTCGACCGCGCCACCGGTCCGGTTCAGCCTCTGGCTTCCAGGGGGCTGGAAACCGCGGACGTGGGAGGATGGGGTGGGTGTGCCTGCCTGTGAGGGTGAGCTTGGGGGTGAGTGTGAGTCGGAACAGGTGTGCCCGAGACTGCGGGGCATCCCGGGTCTCCGCGCTGTCTCTTGCGCTTCGCTCCGCGCAGGGTGACCCCGGGGCCAGGCGGGCTTCAGGGGGAAACAATAGCGACTCCTTAGATCCTGGGCTCCTGCCAAAGGCTGCCCAGGCCCTCCCGGATGACCGGCGGGGCCTCTTTTCTTATTTGGGTAATTTATGGCGAGGGGCTGGGGGGGAGGGATGGCAGAGGAGGGACCGCGTCTGGAGATGGGGGGCGGGGGGCGGCGGTTAAAGGAGTCGCCGGAGGCTGCGGCGCGGGTGATGTCAGCTCTCGACGAAAATAGAGGGAGATCGCCTGCAAATCCCCAGCTCCAGCGGAGCTAAACCTCGCAATCCCTCCCCGGCCGGCGCCGAGCCAGGGCGCAGCGGCCTCCGCCGCCTCCCCCGGCGCGCACACACCCGCACACACGCGCACGCACGCACACACTGTCCGCACACACGCGCGCGGTCTTCCGCCTGCCAGCCCTCTCCGTGCCCGCCGCTCACGGCGCCCGCCTGCCCCGCAGCGAATCACAGGTGGCAGCGGCGGCGGAGGGGGCGCAGCGTCGGAGTGCGCCCTCCTGCAGCGCGGGGCACAGTGCGTCCTCGGGGACAGCCACTCTCCGATCCCCACGGCGCGCCGGGCCAGGCGCCACCGTCAGCGGTCGAGGGGAGCGCGGGGCGCCCGGCGCGGGGAGCTGAGACGCGGATTAGCACCTGCAGGAGCCTCCGGCGCGCGTCGAGGCGCTAAAGGGCTTACCCGGGAGGCGGGTGGAAGGGCGGGGAGAGGCTCCCCGTTAAATACCGCTCCGGGCCACACTCCCGCGCTCACCCCGGCGCGCGCTCGCTCCCTCGCCCGCCGCGGCCGGACCGCGCTGAAGAGGAGGGGGCGTTCCCCAGACCATGGCGGCTTCCGAAGGGTGAGGGGGCTCTCTCGGGACCCGTGGGACGCAGGGGCCGCGCGCGGGATGGATACCGAGACGCTCGGCCCGGAGCCTCAGAGGTGGTGACGGAGCGACGCTTGGCTGCGGGTGGGAGGGTGGCGAGGGGACCTGTTTTCTTTGGGGGAACTGGCCGCTTAACCCTTCGAGGAGGGGAGAGGGCGAGGGTCGTTTTGTTGCAATGAAAGGGGGATAAGGTACGATAGAGATGTGAAAAAGTGTGCAGGAAAAATCCTCTGGAGGTGACTTTCGAGGTTCAGAAGCAACCAGGGAGTGCGCCTGGTGTGAGCAGACCGAGCCTCGGGAAGCCGTGCTCCGCGGGCTGCAAGGTGTGGAGCGGCCCGAATGAATGAGCTGGGGCTGGAGCCGGAGCCGGAGCCGGCGCGGGGCGGGGCGAGGAGGCGCGCGCGCGGCCTCCGGGGTCGCAGCAGCGGGCCCCCTCGGATAGCTCCTGGGCCCTGCAAGGCGGAATCTCCCTGGCCAGCTCTAAGGACGGGTGGAAGAGATTTGGGTGCTTCCCGGGAGGAGGCGGGAAAACGTGGTTTGGGCCAGGAGCTGGAGTCCCCGGACCCCGACGCGCGGGCGCAGCGCGGGCTTCCCGGTGTTGCCTGGGGCCCTGGAGTCGCCTCCTGTTTCTTGGGTTGGCATAAGAGAAAGCCCCCTCGAGAGAGAAAGAAGGACCGCTCTCTTTAGCAAGGGGCAGAAGGGGCTGCAGGAGGCAAAGGGAGGCCAATAAACAAAAACAGAAACAAACAAAAACACAAAACAAAAAACTCCCTCCTCAAAGGAAGGGGCCAGGAACAGTTTCTTGGACCAGTATCTCCCAAGAAACTTTTCCAGCGTCCTAGAGAATCATGACGAATTGATAAACCCTGTCCTTTCGTGTATTTACAAAATTGTATTAGCCTCTTGGCAGTCGCATGTTCTGTGGAAAGCGAGCGTCAGGGGCTGCCTTGGGCATAGGTGGCTGCTGGCACTTCTGCAGTTTTTTCTTATAAATTCCACCGACTTGTTCGGGTGCAGTGGGTCTCTCTCAAGCAGGAGGGAAGAACTAGTGTCAGAAACCTGCACACCAACATCCAACAAAGGGACATATTTCTGAAACTGTCTGTCTCTGTCCAGGAGAAGGAACTCATCCTTTTTTCTGTCCCTTAGATTCCTGCCAGAGCGGCCTGGCATCTTGTCATAGCATGCAACTTCTGCTTCTTGCCCTAACGCTTTAGCAGTGTGGACGGCTTTCATTATTATTTCTCCAAAAGGATGCTCCAGAGGGACACTGGTGTTCAAGGACGGGTGCTGAACCAGATTTCTAGAACTTAACGTTAAGAGCCCAGATGGTTCAACACCAGCGTCTCTCTGTTTAATTTGAAAGGGTTTCCTATTAGAAATGCCAGAGCCCTGCTCTTCAAAGGCTGGCTTGGAAACATGGGTGATGACCATCTTTTATGCACCCCATCCAATCTCCTCATGATTTTGATGGCCAGAGAGGGAAAGGAGAGTGAGGACAACAGCAGCTCCCTCACTCTGAATGTGTTTATCTCCCTCTTGTCTTCAGTGAGAGCTGCCGGATCCCTTGACACTAAACATAGAGCAAACATGATTTTGGGTGTTTTCTAAAGACACATGCAGCTAATGCCATCTTTGTGCACTGGGTTAAGATTGGCCAGAAAAACTTGTATTTGAGAGATGAAAGGATGGAAGACATTTGGAAAGCTGGGACACAACAGCAAAAAGTGATCTGTCATCCATTATGAGTTAGGGGTACTAACTGATACGCAGGTGACATTTTTGGAAGCCCTGGTCTTCTCTGTCCTCTCCTCTTTCATCTTTTGCTCAGAGACCATTTACTGAGTACTTGTTAGATAGAATTCTCATGCTAGATGCTCTGGTGGCTGAGGGCAGGGGCGAGGGTGGGGGACGCAATCTGGGAGCTGGTTTTTAGAAGACTGGCTCCAGTGTAACTTATTAGTAAGTTGTTGATGAGATATTCTGTTTCCCCTTCTGGTATCTGGGACTGATGCACCTTGTCACTAAGAATCCTCAAGTTGATCTCCTTTGGTAGCTCTCTAACAATGTTGAAACTGTTTCCTAGAAACATACAGAGCTGAGTAGGAAACAAAAACAATATAATGACATGCTTTAAGGTTTTGCACTTTCACTTCAATTCTGTTGAATCCAGAATGTTTGGAGAATAAGATCATGTGGTAAAGTGATCACTTATTTGGTGACATAGTTATTGTCAACATATGTTGGTTTGAGGAATTATTAGAAGCAATAGTGACATGTTATATTTATTTAACACCCTACTTTCAAAGCTTATTCACATCCTATTGAATTCTTCTGATAAATGTGTGAAGTAAGTGGTCCCAGGAAAACAGACGTTAAGGATAAAATTGTATAGAATATAATGTCATCTTTCCAGGAAGGTGACAGGACACGGCAGAGTTTCGGGATCATCATCTAGACAATTCAGGTATCAACATACGCACTGGGCATGGCTGGCAGGAACCTTGAACCTTTCGCGTCCATACTCTGCAAGTTCCTTTGGGGATATCCTTTTTATGCACTTTTTAATGTGCTTGGTCTTTGGCTTTGTAGAGCATATCTGTCCAAGGTCTTGGTTTTTTATAAGTTTTCTGATTATTTGAAACCAGGGTTATTAGCATCCTGTTTCTATAAAAATCAACAGTGGATTCTTTGGTAGTTCCCAGCCCTGGGAGTGATTCTCCTGCAAAGCTAACTCTAATTTGATAGTTGAGCATTCTTTTCCTCTGAGTCCCCTGTCATGGCTAGAATTACAGAGATGGCTTTTAGGTCCCTGACCCAAATTGGAAAGAGATTATAAGTAGTTGGTGGCAGGCAGGCTAGCGTCCATTATTGACTGGAGCTGAAGAGACAGCCAGTTTAGAAATACGCTCTTGGGGGTAGGTGGCGGCTGGATCATCACATATGCCGCAGACCCAAGGCAATCTGTCTTCCCATCCACTCCCAGGAGCCAGGGGGTCAGGGCGAAAGCCAGTCAGGAGGGCTTGGGTTTCAGTTGTACGCAGTGAGCAAGGCAAACAGAAAAGTGCTGACAGCAGAAAAGCCCTGGCAAGAGAGACCCCCTGAATTTATTAGTTTTAGCAGACAAAGGCCAAGCATAGCCATTGCCTTCTCCCTGCCCCCCTGGGGAGTGAAGTTGAGATCAGCTAGAGGAAGAGCTCAGTGGCAGACTTACTGAGAGGTGAGGGGAAGGAGTGAAGTTGGGGCGTCTAGAGGGGTTTGCACGTCACATGCCTCCTCGGGCTTTGCTGCGCGTTGTGTTCTTCATTTTCTCATTTTCAAGAACATAGAAATCAACTTCCTTGGGTAAAATTGACATTAGCTGGGCTATGAGGAAACCATTTCATGTTTACTAAGACAGCCTCTTGTGAGTAATTGAAAGCTTGATTTTCAAGAAATAATATTTAATCCAAATGAAACTTGTGAAGTAGGAATGCCAGGTTATTAAAATCCAAGAGACGGGTTTGCTCATCAGTCCCCAAGGCCACTTGCTTTCCCTCTTTATGCAACACCATCAATTAGATGTTTTCTGTTTGGCCTTCGGCATTAAGAGGTGGATCAGACAAGGAAAAGTGCTTAGGGGAGGATGCTTCGGCTGCAAAAACATGCAATATTTAAGGGCCGGGGCTGAGATTTCTAGGTCAGTGTGCCATAAATCCTACAGTTCCTGAATTGCAAAGCTTTGTCACCGTTTCAGGCTCAACACAGGTTGCCTTCAAGGAAGATTCTTCTCTCTCCACTCTCCTCCACGGCTGTGTCACAAAATTCCCAATGTCTGGTTTTCCCCCTTCCAGAGGCAAACTAAATGGTTTTCGATGCTGAAGTTTTTCGTCATTGGACTGGCTTGCCTTTCAATATAGTCTGCATCTCTCCTTCATTTCAGTTGCCTCCTATAATTATTGTCATCTAATAAGACACCAATCATTTGAGAGCCTCTAGCCACAGTGGGCAGAAGCATCACTCTCAAGATAAAATATCTGTTTTGTTTGCATTTTTAATATGTGCCCTGGTAGTCTGATAAAAAAATTTAGCAAATTCCAGATACTGCCCTGGTTGCAGTCTTTGCTTTCATGCCCTTAACAGCTTGTGGGGGGCAGACAGGAGGCTTCACAGACAGGGTTTTAGAATCCAGATGATGGCAAATCTCTTTATTTACCAGGATTGTGAGCTTGGTCTCTTCTCGCTCTGCCCTCCCCTCACCCTGCCACATGCCCAGCGCCAAGTCCTTGGAATGAATTAATTAAAGGAGAGAACGTTTAAAAATATCTCATTGCTCCATCTCCACGTGCTCCATCATTGATAGGAGGCAGATGGGCTGCAGATTTGTCAGCAGAATAGAAAAAAGGACCAGCATCTCGTTATGGAGCTGTCTGGCTGGCTTGAAATAATGGCAGGCGAGACAATGGGCTGGCAGTGTTAAAGAGAACGGAGCATCCATCCTTAAACTTTTAAACAGAATACCTGCTTTTCTTAGTGTGCTGCATATCTGAAGAAATGGCTGTTGCTCCCTGACACTGATATTTATGTATGTATGTATGTATGTATTTATTTATTTATTTATTTTGTTCACTTATTTGTCTGATGTCTCACCTCCACCAGCAGCCATGAGCGCTGTCTGCTGAACTGCCGTCTGGTGTTTTTGGCAATCACAACAGCTGCTTTGGATTATAGACTCCCTGAGCAAGGACTGGCCTTTGAAAATGGAATGAAGGGAATGAACTCCCTTCTGGCTCCCGGACTCTATGGGCATCAGTCCTGCCTCCCCACCCCCGCCCCTGCCCCAGGATAGGTGGTGGCCAATGTCAGGGACCTTGCCGGAAGCACCTGGGGACAAGGAGGGGTGTCTTGTCCCCATGCTGCCCTGCACAAGACAGCTTCGTTTCAATCTCTGCACGGACCTTCTTCTGTTACGTGTGGTTAGGAGGGCCATCTGT